AGATCCCCCTTCAGCAAGTCGTGACCATCCTGGTCAATGCAATGCTCTAAACTTGATGATGTGAGCAGGAACACCAAGGAACAAACAGTTTCAAATAAGTCTTGACAGGCCGGTTAGCTTTACACACACACACACAGCCAGCAGCGTAATTATGCCAGCCGTCAGCTGGCAACCAACACGCAAGGTTTTCACTCAACACATCGCGGTGTCAAAGAGATGCTGTTTAAACATCTCAATTAAGGGCAAACAGGATTGGCAGGGCTTCTTAGAGGGCAAAGTGTTCATCCTAGCTGCAATGCGCAAACTGCTGAAGGTCAATTTGACAAGCTACATGAATCATGAGATGAGCTACATTACTCTTGAAACAAACTCGCAAACTCAGCTTGCCGAACCAAGTCCTTTGCAGCCGAATGCCATGGAAGGCTCCACGAACCCAGGTCCCCGGGCAAGATGAGATCCTGCAACAGTGGAGCCTGAGGGCCAACGGGGAGAGGGAGAAGAGACCCACTAGCTGCAAGAGCAGTTTGCCTCTACTGCCATTCAGAGACCTGGGCTTCCACAAGGGACTCCTGAAATTGGGGCCCTTGGCCGTTGTTGGCCAATGCCATTGATGATGTGTTTCGGAAGAAAACAAGACTTGTTCATCAATTTCCAGCACATCCACCAACACAAAGTATGCCAGGAATTCAAAACATTAAACATGAACTGGTGGGGCGAAGCCAGCCCTCAGCCGCAAGGGAATGTTGACGCTGGATTCACAAAAACTTCGGTGTCCCATGATCGCACCCCGTATGAATCCAGCAAAAAAACGGGTGCAATGCCGCCTGTTCCAGGTCACTTACTCCGTCCTTGGGCCATTCTCGTGCAATTGGCGGACCATTCCCTCCCGAATCCTTCACGAACCGAGCCGCTCTCCAGGCTTGCAGTTGGCATGAGCTCTGCCAAGTCCGCCATGGATTTGGAGCATGTTCCCAAGATTTCGAGGACTTCCATTCTTTTCTTGAGACGAGTTTCATCAGGTGTCCAAATGGGTATGGGTCCAAATTAGACCACCAGGGGACTGCAGGTTTTGGTCCATGTTTTCACTTACCAGGGTTCCAGTTGGGGTTCCCTTTTTGGACCCACAGCCAAACAAAAATCACTGGCACCCCATGCCGGATCTGTGGCGCCCAACGCTCTGCGGAAGATCCGCGAGCGCGGCAGCCTCGCATGGCTCGCCGTCGAAAAGCTGTACCCAAACAGGGAAAAAGTCAAAGAAACATCTAGGGGTTGATTCCTTTTCCATTCTTTTCAGCCATCGTTCTTTTCAAAAACCAGCTATGGTTTCTGGGTTTCCGGAGGTTTTCTAGGGATCCCTGGAAAGAATGGGGAAGGTGCCCCTAGAAAACAGACACACTGGTCAACAGAAACATGGAGCCCGGGCAAAGTTTCAGGCCACGGGGCAGAATTGGACATCTGGTTGTTGCTGTCACCTGCTGCGCTTTGTTCGCTTCGGGGTGGTCGAGAGGTCACATCTCGCAAGTAAAGTTTTATTGTGTCTTGAAGATCCAGAATTGCAGAAGCACGTGCATATTGATGCGCGGACACATCTTTGCTTTTACATATCAACATATCACATATTGGTGCATCTTCAAATTAAATGGGAGTATTGAGTTTGATGTGTTTGGGCTCCTACGGAGGGATCTCTTGGCAAGCAAGGCCGTCGAACATAGACCAAGCACGTCGCTTGCACAGCATCAAAATTAGATCTGTTTCAAATAGCTGTGGAGCAAAAGGCGCATGCCCACCTTTGTCAGGAAGCTTGACCAAACTTCCCCGTGTGCACGAATTGAAAGCAAAGATTGCAACTGGCACATGACGTAAAAATGATCGCCACGCGGCATTCAAGAAATCACGCTAAAATTGTGCAAAATCCCCTTCACAAGTAAAAAGAAAAGGTATCGTCTTGGGCCCAAGTCTTGGGAATGGAAACCTCATGTTCACTACATGAGCATAGTGCAATCCGGGCTTAGATACAAAGCAACCAGCTCAAGAGCAAAATTGTCGCTGGAATGAGCACGAAGCATACAGGAAGGGATCAGCAGCCCGTGGATTAAAGCGCTAAGTTTCTCCAGAATGGGATGTAAATTGCGCTATAGGAACTTAGGATCTGTCCGGCTGGAGCACCAAGGAAACTTCACCGGCTTACGCCATTTGCGGATCAGTCAGTTGCATGGTCTTCGCAGGCCTGGTAGTGATAGGTCTCAGGCAGTGAGAGCAGCTCCACAATAAAGCCTGTGACAAGGCGCCAGGGAGATGCCTTGCCTTGCCCCAAATCTACCTGCAACTGGGGTCCTAACCGCTCGGGAAGCATATCTCTAGTTCGTTCAGGATGCGTCACTTCGTGCGTTCTGAATGAGATGGAAACGGACGGTCTGATTATCGCAGCTTTTTCAGTCTTGCCAGAAAGGCTAGTGATATCCACACAGAGAATACGTCATTCCAATCTGACGCCATCTTTACTTCTGTGGTTTGAGAAGAGATGAGCAAGTGAACTGAGTTTGCATGCGACATGTCCTTGGCCTAGCGGCCAAGCCGATCCCGCACCCCGAACCCCGAAGCCGCTGGGCGAGAAAGCTCTCACGCCTTTTCAGCCTCCGAGTCGGAGGTCTCGGGCCACGAAAACAACCCGCGCCGGTATAGATACAAGGTGGCGGCCGTGTGCGCTGGCTGTTTGCTGACTAAACATGGTCAAATCAAGAAAAAACAGAAGCCATTCAGAAGGGATATGGCCCCAAAAGAACAAATGGCAGGATTGCATGACGGTCAACCAAAATAAACCCATCACGTCAAGGTTGTCCAATGATTGCTTCGACACCTGTTGCGGCAATGAGTGGAAGTCTTGCACCGGAAAAGAATCAAGGCCAAATGACAAGTTGACTTGTCAGGTGCTTTGAGTGTGCTCATCACGAGCCCGTTCTTTTTTAGAAGAGTAAAAACCCCAACAGTAAACTGTTTGGGGAAACAAAGGGTCTCAAAAGGCCGATTTGGCAGCCAAATCTTGCGCCCAAAGCCTCCGGATCGGCGCGGGGCCCAACTCGTGCCCAAAACCCGGCGAGAGGAAACGCAGTGCCGGAAAGAAGTCATATGCAGAGCTACACAGTCCGCCTGGGTTTTCTTTTTTGTCTAAAAACCAGGTCTGGAAAAATTTCCCACACTACCTATCTGCCCTTAGCTTCCTCATGGTAAAATCACAAAATGTGATTTAGCCCCAGCTTCAGAAAAAGAAAGCTGGAGCTGTTTGGCTGAAGAACGGTTCGCGTGCTTTCGAAACAGCGCCGGGTCACGTGTTGACCTAACCAATAGGCTTAGTGCCGTCTCGTGCCACGAACTGGTGCTGCGCAAATGTTCGGGAGGCCCAATTGTAAGAAGTCAACGGACAGTGGAACTACCAAAAACAGCGTATTTACCAGCGACCAAAGCAAGCTGTCATCTGTGTTTTGCCAGGTGGATACTCCAAAGCTGGCAAGAATGACTATGATTGTAAGCTGGGTTGTCCCCGCAACCACTACTCATGGATCATGGAATCTTAAGCCAGCCGCCCGAATTGTGTAAACCAAACAGGGGTAACCGGCAACTGATAAGCCCGGCAAGGACAACTCTTCAGCTCCAGCACTTGGCTCATTTGCAGTGTAGTTGAGTAAACACAAGGACACCTTGCTGTTCTCGGAAAATCCGAGCCCGAAAAGGGCCGCTTACCAACTGGTCTGGCATCTTTGGGCTGTCGCTTTGTCCCCCTTCCCCCAACTTCCTCTGTTCCTCTCGCCGGCTGTGGGACCCACCAACGGACTCTCGACCGATTATGGCTGGCCCCCCTAATTCATTGAAACGGCTTTGAGGCAACAGCCATTGCCATCACCTCAAAGCGAGAACTTGTCGTGATCCACTGTGGGATTCACTTCACAAATTTGACAAACATCCATGTAGGATTCACTTCACACACATTCAAGCCCACCAATCAAGTCCGGGCCGTGGGCGGCTTGATCATCATTCTCCGAGTTGAAAGCAACGCTGCGCTTCCACTGCACTACACAAAGACAACGCACAAATGTCCGACTGCACGGGCCGACTCTGGGTTAAAGGACGCTCGTCATCCAGACAGCCACCCACCCACCAAACGCACGCCCCTCAGGCACGCATGGCCCAGAAACGGGCAGGCCGCTGAAGCCGTCAGCCCAACGGCTGTGAAAACCACACGCAGAGCTATGACTCGCTGATGGCAAATATGGCTGCTTCCCGAAATGACGCGCAAACGTGGCTGTGTTCCTTTGGAAACCTTTTGGGATCCCAAATTTCCGAGTTGGTCGTCATGCTACCTGCAAATCACCTTGCAAGCAAATCAAACCTCATGGTCACTCTACATCAAAAGACGCACCGCCTGCAAGCCCCGGGATCCGCCACGCGGATGCTTCATTCCCCCCGGGGGCGGACGGCTGCAGCTGGCCTGAGACGCCGATGCGGCGAGGTGAGCTACAATCAAAACGCGCTTCCTGCCAGGGAGGAAAGCATGGCATGTTCGGAGTGGTGTTTCGCAAAAAAGTTCACGTGGTGCTTGGTGTCATGACGAGCCACCCCTGAAAGCAAGTATATAGACTGATAAGCCCCTCACAACGCATCTGCAGTTTGGATCAAAGATTGCACAAAGTTCATCCTCGCGAACCGGACCTTTGGGTGCTTCCCGGCACTCCGCGCCACGGCGCACGACAAAAGGACGCGGATCAGTTCCAAGGAGCGGTGCTGTGCATATGGCCATATGGCTGTGGGTCAAAAACATGTACCCAAATGGCACCTTGGTAAATGGAACCAAAGACTAAAACCTGCGTAGCCCTAGCTGCTTGATTTTGAGCCACCATATGACCACAACTCTCAAACCAGAAATAAGGAGGCCCCAGGGAAGAGATTCGGGACAAATCGCTCGATTCAATTCCGGAGATCGCCACGGGTGTGGGACTTTCCTGGCCTCAGGTGACCAGCCCCACAGGCCGCGGCACACCCGATGAGGGCTGGACCTCAGAGCGAGGTCTTGGGAGGGATGGCTTGCAGGGTGAAAATTGGTCGTCAAAGGAAAGAGGAAAGCAAACCAATGTTCTGCCCTTGGCGAAACCCTGGTAAGTCAGTCATAGCCTCAAAGAAAAGAAGCGCAAACTACGGGCTGTTAGTATGGATCTTGACCGTGCAGGTTGAGTTTAGGAAGGTCTACGGTCAAGGGCGGTGCCGTTCAGGTGATTTTGAGAGCCAAGCATGTTTGGACGGCGCCTAAGAGCGACTCAATAATCTCAAATCGAAAGATTCAGCTATCCCATGGAACCATCAAATTTGACACACATCCATTCTATTTTGTGCGGCTCAATCCTGTTTTAACATAAAGGGCCCCTGTTCACATGCTGGAAAAGAAAAGTCTGCGGCTTAACAAACCTTGGGAACTGCTGCCCTCCCCCATGGCCCCATGACACAGGTCCCGGCAGCTTGACCGCGACTCCGTCGGCAGGATCGGTTGCCAGGACTCCAACTGCTAAGCTGTGGCTACGTCGCCATTATTGGAAAGCCATGAGCAGTAGGAACTGTTCTCGAGAATATGACCCACGCGGAAACTTCAAAAGTTCCAAGTGCGGAGTGCCAAAACAAACCTTCAGTGCATGTGCAATGCTTCGTCGAAGCTGACTTGAACTCTCTGGGTCATTCCATTCCCAGCGAGCGAATAGAGAATGGCCTGGGATCTGGGGAAAGTTCTCGTTAGCACGGTCAAGGAAGAGAAACGGCAGGAGCCCCTTCCCTATTTTCACTCACTCTCACCATCTCCCACGAACAAATGGCTGGGTAAAAATGGTGAGTGAGAGTCTGAAGGGTGAACAGATAGAACGCACAACAATCGAGGGATGTGTCTCGTCGAATAGAGAAGAGAAGAAAACAAATCACTCATAGCGTTTCTCTTCTCTCAAGCCTTTTCTCTCTCCACTTGTTGGATCGAGGGCATGACCCTGAGGAGAAATAAGCCATGCCGTTCCTTCCACACCCATGCAATATTCACGCCATTACTTTGTGGGACAAACCGAGCTTTTCCAGCTTTCCCCCCCCATGTCTCTCCCAAATGGGAAAAAACAACCATGGACATGTTTCGACAAAGCAACTCTTCGACCGCCACTCTGAACTCTGAGTGCCTCCGCATCCCGTTCCCCGCGTGGCCTTTTGGGGCGGCGTCACCCGCGTCACCCGCTGGATCGACGCCCCCGGGCCCCCGGGCCCGGCCCTCGAAGCGCCGGAGCTGCTCCGAGAGCTGCAGCTGGCCCTCCGCACCTTCGGGCCGCTGGAGGGAAGCGAAAAAACTTCCCGTCGGAGAGCTCATGGGATCCATTCGCTGAGGGAACCAGTGACTTTGATAATTTGCGAGATGATTTCCGGTGGCTAGGAGCTGGTGGTAAAACCGATCAACCCTTTATAGCCAGCTTTCCCTATTATGGTGATTCAAATGAACATTTCAACTGGGTACATGAAAGTGGTTGCATTTGAGGGGGTTCTCCAAATTACTGGGTGGCTACCTCATCTCTTGCCGGACAAAACATGCGTTTGATTATGGACCATGCTTAGATAAACCTAGCATGAAGAAAGAGATGTTAACGTGGACCTTACAATTCTCGACAGCAGTATTTCACTCACTTTTGATGGTTTCGGTGCCATGAGCTTTCCGATCCCCTAGGTACCTGCCAACGACACTTTGTGATCGTCCGATGGCCTTTGCAATCTCAGACTGAGTCTTCTTTTCACCACCATGTAGTGCTTGTATCATTCCCATGTCTGCCAACTCGAGGAAATCGCGCGGCGCGCCTGCGACTTTCTGGCTCAGCACCTCACACGCGGCGAAGGCGGCACTCTCCTGCACAGTGAAGGGCAGAAGGAACCGAAAGGTCCCCGCAGAACCCCGGCAAATGTTCTGCGTACCTGCGAGTAGATGGCTGATCTGAAGCTTCTGGATGTTTCTTGGATAAGCGTGCCTGGCATGCATGTTCTATAGAAATCGATCAGAATTGAACACAAGGAGCTGTGCGGGCAAGAGGGGTGAGAGGGAAATCTGCTAGGAATGTGTCACAGGCTCCTTACCCCCAGGTTTGATGGACAAACCCCAAAATGAGAGCATGGTTGTAGACACGGGTCAGCCCACTGTTGGGCGCCGCCCATGCGAGCCAAAGCCGACCATTGCGGAATTTGGTTTAAAGAATGGAAACCATTCCCGTCATGATTCCTGTTCCCAAAAAAAAAGGAAAGGAGTGAAACCATTCTACTAACTGGAAACTGTGGGAACCAGTCACCGGATATGCAATCAAATTGGCTCCATTAAAAAATCCCAAGATGGATGAGAGGACCCCTGAAGCTTTTAGGGAGCCCTTATGTGTAATATGGGGGTGGTGTCCATTTAGTTCGCTTTGAAAACACCCCCCAAAGAGGCAATATATGGCCTGGATCATTTGAATCTGATTGTGCAAGACTAAGTCGAATTGCCTGCTTCTGGGTTTCTGCGTTGTTCCCCTAGAAACCCCCCCAAAAAAATAGGTTGGCCCCTGTTTCCCCCCCCCTCCCCCCTCCCCTAAATAAAAGAAAAAGAACGCGCACGGAAGAAACAAATTCAAACAAACGTGTCACCCGCGTCACCCGCGTCACCCGCGTCACCCGCGTCACCCCCGGCGTCCGCGTCTCCTTGGCCGCCTGCTTGGAGCAGAAGCCCCGGCGGTCGCTGGCGGAGGCGATGGCGGCCTCCCCCAGCATCACCGCCACCTGGCCGAGGTCCGGCGGTGCTCGTCTTGTTGGGAGCGGTGGCCCGTTTCGGGGCGGCCCGTGTCGGGGCTGAAACTGTGACTTCAAAGCTGAGGTGTTGGGAACCAAAACGAAAAGTGTGACTTCCAGCTTTGGTCCAACTCGTTTTGAGACATTCCCACGTTGTTCCCTGCAAACAACCCGAGCCATTTGTGGGGTCAAAGTACATGGAACCATTCCTGTCATGTTCGTAAACCATGTCTGCACAGCTTCGCATTCAGACTCCATTCCGAAGTGAGCCAACAGAAATGCGCAAATAAAACAAGAAACTCCGCCCCCCCCCCCCCCCACAAAAAACAAAAACAAAACAAACAAACAAACAACAAACTAAAAATAACTAGTGGCCTGCTAGCTGGCTTCCCTTTTAAGTCAACCCCACCACCGGGGTATTTTCAGACACACGGCGGCGCCATGGGCAAATCCAACCGCAGCCCGGGCGCAGTGCAGCAGAAGATCGGAGCCTCGGCGTGGGTTCTCTCAAATGAGTGGTTGCCTTTGTGTTCCCTTGTAGCAGACCTAAGAAGGGCACCCTCGAATAACAAGTAGGTGTGTTTGTGCTTATGTATATATATATATATATATGTATAGGTAAACATACACGTACATGTGCTTGTACATGTACATGTATATGCACTGTGTATGTTGTGTGTATATGTATATGTATGTGTACATGAATGTGTCGTACATGTAATATGCATATGCCACGGTCAAAAACATCAGTCGATCATGATGTCATGGTTCCAGTAGTAGGAACCCAGAGAAGATGATTGGCCAAAGCCAAGGTCAACGACCACGTCTAGTCATAGTATGGTCGCATGGCACCTTCGATAAACCTCTAGAATGGCACCAAACCTCTTCCGGAAAGGCTGCTGACCACTCCCTGTTCACCCTAACTACCCAGGTATATTGACGAATTCTGGCATGGCGTTGACGGCCGTTGGAGGATGGTCGTCTCTGGAATTCGAGAAAGCATGGCAGACAATGCAAACACCTACAAGTTGGGTCAGGAAACACCGCTACTACTTATGGCAACTGCAAAATGTGTCAAGAAGGCTCGTGGTGTTCAATATGAGCTTTCGTGTCAATGAGGCAAAAGGTGCGAGTTGCAAGCTGGCATGTAAGGTGGACATCTCCAAATCGCAAAGCAGCTGTCGCATCATCAACTGCTGACCATGACAGTGCTCGCTTGTTGAAGTCGGCGACGGGAAATTCCTCTCAACACAGCCCTGGGTGGCGTTTGAAGCTGCAGATGTGCTTATCTTGACAGCTGCGCGCTGACCTTTCGCGCTCCGCTCAAGTGCCAAAAAACTCACACACAAAATCGCAAGGGGATTTTGGCAACAGTTGCCACACACGGCCCCCAAAGTCAGGGGTTGACAAGCCTTGTCCGGGGCAAATCAGCTCAAGTAGCGCCAAGTACGGCCAAACAAGGCCTGGGCCAGGGCTCCACATGTGTTCTGTGTTCTTGAGCTCCATTCCCCAGCCAACAAGCCTAAACTGATCGATTCGCGGCCAAAGCGACCATAGGCCCTGGGACCGGCTTCTTCTTCAGTTTCTGGGGGTGATCCCTGTGCAGCTTGTCCTCGGCAGAGGGCCCTCTCTTGAGCTCCGTCGTTGGCGAAGTGACCAATTGCTTCGAGTTCTACCCCGCATGAGCCTTCCCGAAGGAAACATGTTTGACTGGCTGGAACTGAATCCAGCAGCTGTGGAGTTTCTGCAGAACGCCAGCTCAGTGCAACTGACTTCCTGGTAGGAGTAACTCTCGGCCTGAGGTCGCCTTGCACTCTTCCCACAAAGGATCGACAGCTGCGAACCAGGGGCGTTTGTTCCATGGTCCATGAGCAACATCCGAGTACAGGCCTCGAGCCAAAACGCCGTTATTTTGTGTCTGGTTGAAAGGGAAAAAGCTGGAAAATCAAAAAGGCAAGTTACCAAGGTAAGTTAAGTCTGGCAATGAAGGACCCCATTAATGACCCCAGTTGCATTGAGGCTCGACCATTGCCTGCGCCGCGCTCTGCTCCGCGGTTTTCTTTGTGGGGCAGGCAGATCCCAGCAGCACCACCTTCTCCTGAGCAGACACAGAAACATGGGTGTGTCTCAAACTGGACCCTCATCACTTTAGGGCACCAGTTTTTGAGAAACGCCCACATCTGCCATGTCGACGGCAACAAAAATCCGACAAACAAGGAGCACAAACAAGACAATTACAGCAGGTTGCCACGAAAGCCTCACTGCACACAGGCGGTTCTTGACCGGATGCCCCAACTGTCAACTCGCCCCTGCGTATTCGACTTCCCACAACATCGTCCCAAACCAAATGGTTTGCGTATGGGGCGGAGGGACTTGCTTGATATGTGGGTGATACTTCCTGGCATGCGGCATTTGTGCTGAGGCCAAGCAGTGTTTGATACTGCTTGTCCTTCGCACCTTTGTTCGGGGCCCTCCGCTACGAAAGCTCAGCAGGAAGGACGTCCAATTCGCGCCATCAGTTTGCAAACTGCCCATTTCAGACCCGCGTTGTACGTGGACACTCAGGTACTCCTGTAGGGCGTTCACCTCCACAGAGCACACAAAAGGAGGTAGCTCCTCAGCGCACTGCGCCCGGAACTTGTGTGAGTTTCATCAAGCCCTCGGATTTCCCGGGACCCATCAATCCCATGGAAGCATGCAGCACAAAAAGCATGTCACCCCAGTTCAATCCCCCAACCAGCTCACCGTGCATCCCCGGGGCGGCGAGTTTCACACTTTTGGACTTTCGAGGAGCTCCTAGCCTGTTGCACGCCCTTCAACCATAGGTGTCCTTTTAGGGGAAATAGATGGCCCTGGTAGATGATTAAACCACCAGGTAAGCCAGGGCCATCTATTTTTCTACCAAAACAAAAAGGACACCTATGCCTTCAAATCTTCCCTTAAGAAACCAGGGGTCATGCTATCTGATTCGAGCAGCCAGTTTGTGCGGTGTTTGGCCCTACCGCAAAAATTGGTCCATGGCGACTTTTGTACGAGGTTGTCTTGACGTATATAGGATCCCGGCGCTCCGACCTAGGATTTGAGTGCAGTGGGCTCAGGGTGCCCTTGTCCATGTTTTTTTGCGCGTGGTGTTTTTTCTTCGGGTTTTGGGCTATACAAGCAAACCGCACAGCAAAGCGCACGGTCTGTGTGGCGCATGTATAGATCACGGTGGATCCACTCATGCCTTGGGCAGCACGAACCCAGAATGTCGCCCAGCAGGTTTTGTTTATTTCGTTTCAAGGTGGTCCGCTACAATTGTCTGCGCGAAGTGCGTGTGGCACAAATTCTGTTCTACAGGTCGTGCGGCAATGATCGCTGAGTCTGAACCCTTTTTGGTTCGACCCCAACCCTGCTTTGGGAGGAAGCACAGAGGTCATGAAATAGGTTTGGGCAGTAAAAACAGGGTTCTAGGTACTGTGGTGCAGGGCAATGATTTTCATTTCTCCGGCCCGAGGTCCATATGTCAGGGTGTTCAACAAAGGAAAAGCCATTTTCAAAATCGGGCTTGTCAGTTTATCGCTCCAAAAGTCGGCCACGGAAGTTTCAAAAAGATGGACTTAAGCCATATATGTACATTCCCCGGCACTACGTTGCTGCTATGCCCCCGTCAGCAGGCAAAGCCGTTGCACGATAGTGTGCGCCTAAGTAGCCCCGGCCCGCGCAGAGACGTATTTCGCATGTAACACTTCCAACAGCCTTTTCTTATAGCCACGACAAGCCGCCAAAAAGTTGGTGGACTGTAGATGGCTCAACGACTTGCAAAGGGCAACGGTGCCCAGTGACATTTAATTTGTACGCAATCCCAAACGCGCGCACTCTGTAAAGGACCGAACATTTGCAGGACCCAACAGACCTGAGTTTTGGCCGACTGTGTCGAGGTCAGTCCATCTTGGGACCCAGCAAGTTCGAGCGTGCTGAATTGTTTTGGACAAAACAGGTCTTTTGAGTTCAGAAAGCTGCGAGGGATGGCGTATTTGTCAACTGAGACAAATGTAGCAAGGACGTGCCGTCCTCTCAAACAAAATCAAACGATTCTGTCCATCACCCGCATCATGTGCCCCATCTTCTGACGAATAGCAAACAATAAGCCGCCAATTGCTCAGATTGCACTCCTCCACGGAATCTGAGAGAAGCTGCTAGAACACAATTTCTGATTGAAGCAACCATCTGACAGGCTCTGTCTGGGTAGAGCGGAAAGGAGGGAGGCAGGGAGGGAGGAAGCGAGGGGAAGGGAGACGGAACACACTGTAAAGCTTAGAGCTGCCTTTTCACCCCGTCAGGCTTCTGCTTGCGTCTTGAAGAGGACGTCGCCCGGCATCAGGGTGTGCCCTAAAAGCTGCCTGAGACGGAGAGCCACCACATTCTCTCAATTGCTGCTGCTGCTGCTGCCACGAAATCAACAAAATATCAATGGCTTTCATGTCCTCATGTCTGCCGTAAAATGCTGTACAACCAGCCATTGGCACAACAGCATCGCAACCAAGGCGCGGCCTCTCAGCAAGAGGCGTCATGCAAAACCAACATGAGAAAAACAAGCGTCCCTATCCAGTCGGCGTTGGACTTGCACGCAAGACACGGAGGAAGCGTCAAAGCTCAAATGGATCCCGTCGAGGGCTGCCCCGGTCAGTTGAACATGACTAAGTCGCATGTTAAATGTTGGCCATCCGACATTGGAGAAAAGCAAAAATAAACACGGCGACGCCAACATTAAATTGTAGCTACAGAGGGAACCCCATCGAAGCCTTGCGAAAACCAAGACAGGCCACCTCTAAGCACAAGATCCTGTAAAAGCCGAACACGGATCCGGGCAAAACAATATTTCCTAACTGGGACTAAGGGATCCCTGGCCAAGCGCGTTCACACCGCCAGGTGAGCTTGTCAAACCTACAGACCCAAGCAAGCCTCCTCTCCCAGGTAGAGCCAAACCAAAGTACAGCTTCGGTGCTCCAAGTATGCACCAACGGATCAAATACCGAGGTGCCTTCTGAAAACGGAATGCGGCAAAACCGTCCCCAGACTGGCGCCTCGTTGCTCATTTTGGTTACTCGAACATCAGGACCCCCCCGTCAAACGGACCGACGAGATGCTGGAGCTGCTCCACCAGCTGACCTCTCGATCGCGCAGCTCGAAGCTTCACCCCAGATATTTGGCCTCCCCAGTTCCATTGGGGACTCAACATGGAATTCCGGCAACCCCTCCCCAAAGTCAGTGGTTCCGTTTAGGCACCCACATGCCGCTTCAAGAAACTCACCCAAACTCAACCTGACACCTGACTTTGCCGGTCTGGTGACACAGCTGGATTTTGCAACCGAACCGCAGCTCGTGCTCCCACCTTGCGGAACCAAGAAGGGTAGAAGGGAACCTTGCCTTTGAGAGGGTCGGACGATATCATACAGCCTCCGACTCTAGGAGCCATTTGCCTACTGACCAGTGGAAATGCCTCGGGTCAACTTTACGCATCGCTTCACCAGCCTTCAGGGCACCCCAAGAAATGGATCTTCATCACGGCTGTTTGCCCCAAGTCTGATCACTGTTTGACCAGATGCCTCTGGGTGTGAATCAAAAGCATCGGTTGCTACATGCCCCGATTACCATCACAGCATCTTTACAGAAGGTGCAAGACACCCGGCCAGCGTTAAGACGCATCGCACAAGAAGTGTTGCTCATTTGCCATGCCCCAACATGCGACAGGCAGCCAACCTGTCGCCTCTGTATTTGGAAAGCTTGTCCCATCCCCTGCCTAACTCACCAAGGCAACAACATCTCGACTTGCAGGCCTCTTTTCCGAAGCAAGTTTGCCTCCCTTCCCAACCAGCCAACAAAAGGTGTTTTTTTGACGTGGAAACGCCCGAATCAGGCGGGCACGCCTTTGTAGTTTGCGCTGGCGATCTGCCCGTGCTGCACTGGTGCGGTCTTGATGGGGAGATTCCGGATGGAAAGCAGCCTCGGTGATGCCAAGGCAGCGGAAGGGGGTTACCACCAGCCACATCTTTGCCAGCCTTGATGGACAGGGGCCATATTGCCATGGCCTTGAAAGGGCTCCGTACAGTTCCTACAGGAAGAATGAGTGCAGTTCCTACGAGTGGAGCTGGCCAAGATTCCCCCACTGGGCCATGACACGCGCGTGTCAAGGAGCCAATCTCGCTCGCAAATCTTGCTTGAGGGAAACCAAAGGACACCGGGCCTTGGGCTCTGGACTTTGGAAACAGCTCGGAGCACCCCAACCGACCAACCCAACCACTCAAACCGTTTCCAAAGTTTTCCCTTCAACCCCGACCAAGCGTCAGTTAACCAGTTGGGCTCCAAAGGTTTCCCTTCCAACGGGTCCCCAAGAGGGCGGCGGGCCCACGTTCGGCCCAAAGCTCAGGCCCGTTCGTCGGTTGGCGAGGGGCTCCTGCAGCGCCTCCAGCGCCTTGGCGGCCGCGGATTGCTCCGCGCTCTTCTTGGCGCTGCAGGTGTTGCCCACGAAAGGCCGCCGCTGCCCTCAGGGGTTTGGGGGGGTTTGGATGGGGGGTTTGGAGAGGGGGGTTTGGAGGGGGGGTTTGGAGCGGGGGTTTGGGGGGAGAGGGTGAAGTGGGAGGGGGAAATTCTTTTGTGACGTCAAGGCAGATGGGGAATTTCCAGCTACCAAGTTGGGGGGTCACTATCTATATTTGTACATAGATAATTACCCTTTGAAGCTTGAAGGAAATTCAGAGCCCTCAAGGGCGGCGACACTTCTTTCTTTTTCAAAAGCGCCACTTGTTGCCCCCTGAATTTCCCTTGAACTCAACCCCAAACAGGGTAGCGCCCGCATCAGAATCGGGCCGCCTCCCAAGGAGGCCCAAAGTGCGTCAGGCGTCAGGGACACTGAGGCGGTGAACGGTGCGTTCTCTGACTCCACCTCGTAGACTACGTCGCCCTTCACCACTGGTCCTCGCTGAAAACAAAAAAAGAACTACAGCACTCCAGACCAACTTGAAATACAGCAAAGTGCGTACACGTGCCACACACGACCGAAAGGGCAAAACAAAATCGCATCGTTCGCAAAACTTTTAATGACAAACAGCGTCTCGGAAATCAGCTTGTGACATTGTTTTGCAGGTGTTCTTGAGCCTTCAAAATGCCCTCCTTCCGCCAAGCGGCTATCAACGCAAGCGTCGACTTACTATGGTACCCTCCAGATAGCCCGCTGTCAATACTGAGCCCACACCAAGCACACCAACATGCAACGTAAACTGAAACACGTGCCGCGAACCAGATCATCTGTGGGAAATTGGAAAGTAGTTTGAGCCAGCTTTGCTTCCAGACAAGTGGGGCCTGTTTGTGCGTGGGCTTCTTCTTTCTTTCGGAGACAAATTGGGGGTCTTGTCCTTGTGCCTTATTTGTTGGCCACAAGATAAAGTCATGGAAAGACACTTGAGGGCAGAACGCGAGGCTTGCGGCACGCTGCTTCATGAGGCAGCAGCTCCGAATCGACACGAAATGCCGTGCGATCGTAGACGCTGACGAAACCAGCTCACATCCACCCACTTCGTCCCACTTCATCCCACTTCCACTGCAAGGTGCGGCGAAGAAGCTTGTGGAGCAGGTTGTTCAGCTGGCCTTTAAAGTTGCCGCCTGGATGCCAGGGTTCGGTTTCTGGGAAGGTCCGGAAGGCATTGGATTCCCAAATTGGAGCCGTTCATTCTGTCCAATTGATTTTTGCTTTCCGAGATGCCCAAAGGCTCATGACTCCCCTGCAAAAGGAGTGACTGCTCATGTTAAGGAAGGAACAACACCCCCCACAGCCACAGAAACGTGGAGCAAATCTGTGAGGAAACTGCAGCGATGCCAACCCCCACAAACACAGTGTCGTAAAATCAATGGTCGCAATATTGGTGAAAGGCCTTTTGAGCACTGAAACCGTGGCCAAGGTGCTGCTGTAAGAGAGATCTAATCGCCCTGCGTCCTCAGCTGAATGGCAAACATGCCATTGGCTGATGGGTGTGACCTTTACGGGACCACGTGGACATCAGTTGCATGGGGAGGTTTTCCAGGAGCAGGATTCAGTCAAGAGGGCATTCCGATCTTCAAAGATCGTGTGGCTCTGCCAGGCCACCGCGGCGCTGGAGAACTGCACCATGACCGCCACCAACTTGAGTGATGCGGGGGCTGACCCCCGGTTGAGAGGCTTTGCCGGGGTGCGCCACTTCACTCAGTCTGTCTCTTCTCCTTCATTTCGCGCAATGTAAATCAACGCTAACTGCATCAGACTGGCCTCATGATTTTACCATGGTCAAAGTCACCCCCTAGGTGGGCTAAAGGGAAGCAACCCCCATGTCTGACTTTGATAACCCCCAGACACCGTCAAGAGAAGGCCCGGAGCTCCGCCGATGCGCCGAGGCGCGGCGCGGCCGAGGCGAGCCTTGCCCGCCTGCGAGGCATCCAGGAAGCTGAAGTCCCAGTGCAGTGACAGGTGGGGCGACATGGCCTCCGGGCCGCTGGCTTGTGGATTGCGAAATCCAGTTCGCACCACACCATGGTTGAAACCATGGCTTGTTGGTATTCACAAGGGATCATATCCTTCTAGGGGTTCTTAGGTAGTTCGTCCATCCAGAGGGCGGAAAGCTGAGGTTCCCAGGAAAAGGCGGTGAAACATCATCAAGCTGTAGCACCATGTGCACGCGGGTGCAGGTACAAGCTTCACTTCTGTTAAAAAAAAAATGCAACTGCAGCCAATGTGTGCAACCGTTGGTGTGCGTAAAAGCTGTGTCACAACAAAGCCAGCACAAGCGCAGAACGAGCAGGGATGGCGACCTTCCACATGTTGAGCAACATCAAGCCAGACCCGTCCTTCTGCAGTTTAACGGATTGGTTCAGCTTCTGTGTTGGTTGCTGTGTATGATTATGGCGTTGTATGTGTTAAGCGTCGGCAGAGTAGTTTCGTTTGGTGAGCACTGGCCTGGCATTGGTCTAGCAAGCGAAAGTGTTGGACGAAAAAAACAAATCCGATACAAACTCCCTTCTTGCTCCCTTCCAAACCCAAAGAGAGATCATTTCCGCAAATTCCACAATCATTCCAACACCAGAAATTAGGAGATCTCAAAGGACCTCCCCGGTAAAATCGCTAATACCCCAACACAAGGTCGAAACCCATTAAACGGTCTTGGAAATCCTTTGCCTCCGCTCACTCCATCCATCGACGGCACCAACTGTCACCACAAATCAGAAGGCTCAATCTTTCAGCCTTGACGAATCCACACATTTCAAACAACACTCCACCTTTTTCGAGGGCACGACCGGCCCTGTGGCCTTCACACGGCCCGAGCTTCTCTTCGACTCGGCGCCTCTCTCTCGATTCAATTCGCCTGGCACCACTCGTTGAGGGTGGAAATGCTCTCGGGGCCCGGGTCCTTCGGCAGCTTCCAGCGCTTGGAGTTGCACGTGGTGCTGCTGCCGTGGGGACCTCGGCCGTCGGGGCGATTCACGCGCTCAAAAGGGGCGCTAGGGGCCGGAAAAGAGGGCGCTCGCCCGTGAGAGCTTGTAAAAATAAGCATGTGTCTAGAGTTCTCTTTTGGAAGTCTTCCTTTTTTGTTGCTCCTTCTCGTTTTGCAGCGATTTGTATTTTCCTTATTTTCAAGCTCGACATCGCGACCTGCTAGTATAAGCGTAGCACGCAAAGCACACTTTGGCAGCTCCAGCTCGGGAATAGCAACTTTTTGGTGCAAGTGTGGTACACAAAGTACACTTTGGAAGCTCCAGCTCGAGAATCGCAGCTGTTCAACACACATGCAGTACACAAAGTACAGTTTGGCAGCTCCAGTTCGAACATCGCAACTTTTAGGTACCAGTGTTGTACATGAAGTACACTCCGGCAGCTCAAGCTTGAAAATTGCCAACTGTTCTGCCGTTGTCGTTTTCGCAATCGGTTTAGTTGCCGTGTTGTCATCGTGTTTGTCCAGCTGGCCTGTTTGCTACCCAAACAAGCTGTTGCTTTGCCCAGCTGACAAGGCGGCTTCCCAAGCTCGGCTTCTCCTCGTATTTTGTTTAACTCCTGGTCGTTTTGCAGTAAGAGGCAGAGGAACAGTTTTGGACGCAAGGGACCTTCAAGGACTAAACTTAGCTCAAGGGGTTCCAAACAATCTCATGTGTACATATATACGTATATAAATATATGTATATAGTATGTATTTGATATATGTAGATATGTATATATGTATATATACATACATGTGTGTTTGAGGCATCTTCGCGCCTTCGTTGTAGTCTTGCTGTGGGTATGTGGGCTCATTGTGTGGCGGGCTGAGGTGCGGCTGTTCTCAAATTTGATGGCTTACGAAAGAGATGTGACTTGGATCACGCCTTTACACATCGAATCGGAAGGCCATCCACCTCCTGAGCCCGCAGCATGCCCACAAGAAGCGGCCCTCAGCGAGGTCCGGAGGCTTGCCCGCCATCGGCCTAAATCAACGGCTGGAGCCAAAGCGCCAGGCGAAGGGCCAACCTCAGCGCCCCTGCGAAAACCAACCTGAGATGTGGCCCTTTGCTGGGCCTCTCGTACTGGTCTATCAATCTACAGCTCTACAATTGCTACAAGAATGAAACCATTGATCCCCACAAGACTCAAGTAGACTTCTTAGAGCGTTCTGCAGCCGTTGCACAGGCCAGCTCCAGTGTCGTCCTCCCTCCACTGGTGACTGGCAGACGTGAGTCTCGTCAGATGTGTAGATGACAAATTGTGCAAATATGCTAGGTGAGGCAACCGGCTGTTCTGCTGCCAATTGACAAGCAAAAAAATAGATTGTGGCTTCTCATAGCATCCTTGGCTCGTGTTCACTTTCCAGTTTCAATTAGATTGTCACACTCCGCTGCAAATTCTCCTGGAGCCCACTACTATGTACCACTCTTGCAGGTGAGCAAAACCATGGGTGTCTATTTGTCATGAGGGGCACACAATTCAACACCATGAAAGATGTGCAACTAATGGCACCATGAATTTCACCAGCCTAGAGTGAATTTTCCGGTCGCACGAGATTCAACACATCCTGAAACTGTCACTATCCAGACAAACTACAACAAATCATCAAGCTCAATTAGGAAATCTCGCGGGGCCTTCATCATTCCTTGGTGAGCTTGGTTTACCCCAGGTCAGCTCGATATATTTAAAATGTCAGGGCAAACCAAACGTTCTCGAATTTGAGCAACGAGCTGCTTGCGAGCGGCTTGCCAACCCCCTGCAACGTGCCAGCCCTTTTTGCCCAAACAGCTACAGCTCCTTTCGCCGGCGCAGATCCTGCAAGGAAGAGGCCACAGCACGGCACATGAGTGCCGCGCAATTGATCAACCACGTCTTGCTCGGGGAACCAAGGTCGGGAAACCCTTTTGCCTATACACTCACTGTGGTTGCTCTGACCACCGCAGTGGTGGTTGTCCCTTCGGCTTCCCGAGAAAACAACCCCCAAACTGGCTCCTCCAGCGCGTCCCGCGCAGGGCTCCAGAATTCTGAGTCGGAGATGGAGGTGATGCCGTTCAGGGAGCGGAAGAGCTTGGAGCCCTGCCGAGAAGCACCATGAGCCGCTGCAAGGCGGGGGAAAGGCCTTCTGGCAGTCTGTGTTCGTTGGAGGTGGTACCTTGTTGTCTCCTTTTTTTTGGGGGGGGGCAGGGGTTCAAGGCTTAAAGGGAAGCCAAAAGGAAAACCGCCATTTTGCGGGGGATGCCCCTATTATTGAAATATGCCCCTCTGGACATTTGGCTGGGAAGATGCGGATGTTCTGTGGCGGACGCATTCCTCCAGCCCTGAACCGATCTCACGGGGATTCAAGAGGCGCCGCCACACTGCGCGCCTTGGCGTGCTGGAAGATGTCCTGCGAAGCTCGGCCGCGGAATTCCCATAGCAACTCTAATCTCGCCCGCCGGTCCCAGTCCTGCATCTCCGGCCTGGCTCCGCTCCCCGAAACTCCACTCGGGATGGTGGTCCCCGACGAGGGATGGTCCCCTTAAGGCTGGCAATGTGTCAGGCAAAAGCTGGAGAAGCGGGTGGATTCAGAACTCCACAGTCAAAACTGGCGAACTGGCGAACGGAAGTTCGAAAGTTGTGGCACATGCCCGCGGTCTTGCTTTGGATATGATGAGAACCCCCAAGGCAGTCATAGAAGTTCGCGACAGGAAGTTTTCTAGTTCAGATTCTCACGTGTCAATGTCATTTTCCCGGATGAACCTTCTGCAGGTTGGCCCGTAGATTCTTTTCTGACCTGGGAAACATGGGAAGAGGGTCTTAGGTTCGTGGGTCTAACACTGACCATGTGGGCAACACATAGCACGCCCAACGGCCTCCCAAAACATCAAAACACCGAGACCTGAGGGGAGAGGACATGCCAAGGACCGGAGGCTTCCTGTGCGGAACTCCACGGAACTCGAACGCGCGCCTCACTTTCTTCGGCAGCTTCAGGGGCTCTCGCCGCAGGTAGTCCAGGGACCGCTCCAGAGCCTGTCGCGAGGAGTAGTCCAAGGGCGTGAGAGCCGTGAAAAGTACTTCACCCCCGGAACGGGGAAGTTTGAGGGGTTTGGTCCCTGTGAAATCCTCGGACCTAGGAGTTTCTTCCCCGAAGTCCTGCCGAAAGCGACCGCAAACGAGAGGATGATTCTTTCAATGTGGCTAAGAGAGTTTAGGCTGCCCAACGGTCCACTCTAGCGGGGTGATTTCAGAGTGTAAAACCACGAAACGGTTGGCTCAATTTCAGCAGGGGGGAAAAAGATCGTTCGCGGTCGCTTCTGTCCACTGGGAACCCACCAAAGGGCTCCTTTCTCAGGAAAATTGTCCTCCCGGACTCTATAGTCAGGTTCCATGGTAGTGGACGGGAGGGTACTGGGAGGACTGCTCATCATCTGCTAGCCATGCTGCCATACAGGCGTCCCAAGCATGTAGTCGTGGGAAGCCTTCGAAAATGATCAACCAATCAGCCAACCAACCCACCATCCAACCGCAAC